GGGGCAGTGTGACTAGGACGCTTCTCGGTTCGCCAAAAGCAGTGATTGTAACAGTTCCCCCTCTCATTCTCAGAGCATTCCTGTTGAACAACAATAATACGGTCATCTTGTCATGACCAAAATACATCATGATGGGCACATTTGAAATTTCTTCATGATTTATAAAATTGGAAAACTATGGGTGGGCAGCACGTGGAGGCCACCCACGCTCCTGGGGACGGGACTCACCCTTTGTGGATGTTGTAGCTGCTCCCATGCTTGGCTCAGAGTCTTGCCTGGGTAAATGGGGGGAAAAATGGGTGAATAAATTATTGTTAAAAACAGTTTGTACAAAGCGCAAGATTGCAATGATCACTTCAGGGAGATTTTAAAGGATGGTGAGATCCATTGGACAGGCACCTGAGAAGCAGGTTTGCAGATTCGGCAGCCACTTCAGCCTTATTCCCCGGGGCTGTGGCCCAGCACCGACCGGCCCCTGAACCTGCAGCCCTGGAGCCCCGCTCTCTCCCGCTTCTGCTCTAGTTTGGACACATGAAGAAATGTGTTCTGAAGGTGAAAGTCTACCTTACATGGCTTCTGGGAAGCTGGTGGCAGTGACCTCACGTTAGGAAATGAAGAGCATTAATTATGCTTGGTGAAGCAGAAATCTTAATAATGTATGAAAATATGAAAGGCAAACAGATTAGTGAACCAAGTCAGATCTGGGTTCAGAGACTGAAATACATCAAAACAACATTAAGAACTGTTTCTATGTTAGTGCACTATTTACTCCTTTCTGGATGCTAATTAGTATAAACTCAATGATAAAATGACAGTGATTTTTAAAACAATCATCGAAGAGAACGTCATTCGGGCTGTTTCCTGAAGGCCAGCTGGGGGCACAGCGACCGCTTTCCAGGGGAGGCAGCCGGTGCCCTGGGCCCGCGCCCTGAGGTTTCTCCTGAGAAGCCCGAGGGTGGGGCCCGTTGGCATCGTCCTGCACTCCAGCCTTTACGATGAAGCGCGACTCAAACCCTTGCAGAAATCGTTTGTGACTGTCATTCACAGATGACCCTGAGTCTCTCCTGAGTTTATTTTTACTTTCTCCTTTTCTCTCCTAGTTTAATGAGTTCTGTAAGTTTACTAGTGCGAAGGAGAGTTTCCCATCACTTGCTGGACTGGCTCTGTGTCAGTGAAGCTAAGACCTTGAATACATCCTGCAATTCTGGGACCTTCTGACCGGGCCCCCTGTCAGTTTACATAGCTGTTCCGACTCTTCAGTTAGCTGCTCTAGTAACTGTCATGAGACTTCTCTGCCCGCTGCTCAAGTCCCTCAGCCTCCATCGTTCTAGTGGCGCTCCTCTAGATTGTCTTTACTGTGTCCCTCCTTCTAGAGACCTGATAGCCAGCCAAGGGCACCAGTTTTAGGACTGAACTGGAGAGGGGTCCTGTTTGTTTTTCCAGACTGTTCCTGCTGATGGCTAACATATTTTCGGCTAGTTTGGACCACATAACAAGGGAGCTCCTGCTAATTACCCTGATTTCTTTCCTGGGTCCTGACTGATAGATCACAAGCCTTTCTTTAGCATTAGACTTGGAAATGCAAGACTGGATGAGCCCCACCTCTGATGCTCCCTGGGCATTCGGCCTGTAGCCACTCAGGTGCCCTCCTTTAAGATAAAGACAGTCGTGCCTCTCAGAGTTACTGGGGGTGGGGGAACTGGACTTACGAAAAGGGGACCTGCCTTGAGGGGAAAAGTGCTAGTGTAGGTTTGCATGTCATGTATTCTCAATTTCAGTGTCATCTATACATTCTCTGCCTTCTCACAGTGATTTGGGTGGTTTACCTCCCAAAAAGAATATTCCAGGACAAATGGCTTCACTGGTAAATTCTACCCAACATTTAAAGAATTATGCAATCCCTCTCAAACTTTTCAAAGGAATTGAAAAGGAGGGAGCATACCCAGACTGGCTTTATAAGGTCCGTGTTGCCCTGGTACCAACAATGCCAGGCGGAGGCACCGCAAGAAAAGAAGTTTGCAGGCCGACACCCTTGATGCGCATAGGCGCGGAGCTCTCCACAAAATGCAAAAAAACAAACTCAGCAGCATATTGAAGGCTAACACACCATGGCCAAATAGGATTTGTTCCTGGCGACAGGTCAGCATTCAAGGTGATGCAACACATGACAGAATGAAGGCTAAAAATCACACAATCATTTCAACTGCTGCAGAAAAAGCACTTAACAAAATTAATACCATTTCATGATAAAAACAACAAAGTATGAAAGGAAGGAAATTACCTCAACATAATTGAGGCCATATAGGAAAAGCCCCCAGGAAACATACCCAGTGGTGAGAAATGGAAAGCTTTCCCTCTAAAACCTGGAAAAAGGCAAAAATGGTCCCCCTCACCACGCTCACCAGCAGAGCCGCGGGCGTCCTGGCCGCAGAAATCAGGCAAGAAAAAGATATGAAAGTCATTCAAGTTGGAAAAAAGTAAAATCTGTCTTTCTGTAGATGACATCAAAAATGTAGAAAATCCTAAAAAGTCCACAGAAAACTTGTGGAACTAATAAACATTTAGCAAAGTTGGAGGATAAAAAATCAGCATGCAGAAATCAGCTGAGTTCCTGTACACTAACGGTGACCAGTCAGGAAAGGAAGTGATGGAAACGACTCCACCTTGCTGGCACCTGAAAGAATATGATACTTAGGAATAAACATAACCAAGGGATGAAAGACTTGTACACTGAAAACTGCAAAACACTGTTGAAAGAAATTAAAGAAGAGGTAAATCAACAGAAACATAGGCTATGTTTATGGATTGGAAGAATTAATATTTTTTAAATATCTATACTACTCAAAATTATCTACACATTTAATATAATTCCTATCAAACTCTCAATGGCATTCTTTTGCAGAAATTTAAAAAAAAGCAACTAAAATTCATTCAGAATCTCAAACGACCCTGAACAGCCAAAACAATCCTGAGAAAGAACAAAGCGAGAGACCTCACACTTGTTTCAAAATATATTACAAGCTGCCATAATTGAAACATCTGGGTACTAGAATAAAGAGACATAAAGACCAATGGACCAGAAGGGAAAGCTGCTAAGTAAACCCACACATATACGGTCAACTGGTCTTCACTAAGGGCTCAGAGAATGCACGGCCTGGAAAAGACGGTCTTCAACAAATGGTGTTGGAGAAGTGGGACGTCCACACACAAAAGAATGAAATTGGACCTTATCTTACACCAATGCACAAAAATCAACTCAAAATGGATTACAGATTCAAACATAAGACCTGGAGCGGTAAAGCGCATAGAAGAGACCACAAGGGAGAAGCTTTATGACGTGAGTCTTGGCAATGATTTCAAGGCCGTGACACCAGAAGCATAGATCACAAAAGCAAACACAGACAAACAGAACGACATCAAACTTAAAAACGTCTGCATAGCAAAGGAAACAGCCGGGTGAAAAGACAGCCTATGGAACGGGAGAAAGTATTTGTAAACCATGTGTCTAAAGAGAGGTTAATATCCATGATACATAAGGAACTCCTACAGCTCAGTGGTGAAAAAAACCAATAATTAAAAAGCGGGGAAAGGGCTTGACTAGACATTAAGTATGAGGCAGATCCTCTCTGAGCCTTAGATTCTTCATCTTTTATCTAAATAAGTTGGACTAAATGATCTATGAAATCCTTTTTAACCCTTCTATTCTTTATTCTACAGTAATAGTCCAGACTTTAGGGATGCATCCCGGCATTTGTCACACACTTCTTATGTAACAGCTTGAATCATACGAGATTGCTGTTTCTGTAGATCCAAAATGTCAAATATATGTGCAATCTCGTATGTTCAGTCTAATATTTCAGTATCAAGTACTTCATTGTGATGGTGGAAAGAGAATTAACTTAATCTTCTGTACAGCACACCCCACAACTGACAAGAGAATATTTTTCTAATGTCATTATTTTACCATAAGATTTAAAAAAGAAAAGCACCACTCACATAAACTTCCCAAATGCTCTGTTTTCCTGGCTTTCACCCTGAGTCACTGAACATCTTGCCTGGAGCCGACTGGCTGTGCAGACCTTGCAAAGCTTCCGTCTGCACGTGAAGCACAGGATCAGCCCCCATACCTGCTTGGATGACAAGGCTGCCTTTCAGGTGGTGAATGGCCTCAGCTGATGGTGTTGCTGTTTCAGTTTCAAGTACTGTATCTAAAAATACATTCTCGGGAATTTCTCCTTCTCAAAACCTCTTCATTATAACATGGTCCAATGTGTTAATGACTCCAAATTCCAGAGGAATCCTTTCCAATCCCTTTCTCCAAAGTATCAGGCTATCTTAGTCAAATATTTGGTCCTTTACACCACACATCCCTCACTGAAAGATACAAATGCCATTTCTAAACCTACCCTGTAATCCTGCTATCATGAATAAGTAAGCAACGATGTTGAGAAATTCTGTATGAACAAAGTGCATTAATCATGCTTAGGAGTGGCCAGGTCCACACATCTCAGTCAGGGGCAAATATTTTCTGTGTGTTTATGACATATGGTCACTTATATTCGATTTGAATGCCAGTGTGCTACGTTATTGAATAGTTCCAAAGTTGGATTGCTTTCCTTTATGCTGACTTGAAATCTTTCTCCTATAAATTCTATTCCTTAATCTTTTTTATATTCTCTGTATTAATGGGACAATTCTACGTTTCCATTTTCATCATAACCATTCAACATCTGAAGGCAGTTTCAGACTTGCCTGAAGTGTTCTCTTTCCAGAGAAAACCTTGTCTTATCCCTACACCTTTTCTAACATGCCTCTCCAGGCCCTGGAAGACACCAGTGTGTCCGTCCAGCGTGGTGCCTGGAGGTAAAACCTGCTGCTCCTCAGTCACCCAGTCAGTGCCCAAGTCGGAAGGAAAATGACATCCCTTGTTCTGCAGCCAAACTCCAAACTCAGTCTAGGATCCCTGCCTAAAGTGAGGGTTTCTGCTTCTGGTAACACAGCACAGCTCCTATTAAACCAGCCCATCAGCAGGTAACAACTAACAACTCGGGATAAAATAGAAGCAGCCTGAGGGTGCTGGTGGCAGCCGCAAGGGGCATGAACCTCCAGGGATGGAGGGCACCGGGCGGTGCTTCCTGGGTGCAGGTCCCAGTAGGTACCATATGACTGATCAAAACCAGGAGAGAAACTTGGGATCGCCCTGGCGTGAAGAGCCGGAGGGAAGATCAGAGTCTCCCACAGTGGCTGGGGAGTGAGGCAGGAACTCAGCAAAGGAGAGGGCCTCAGAGCTGGGGCCTCAGATTCTGCAAATGATGTTACTCACACTTCTGCTACACCCGCAGTATTTGCTGGTGGGGCAGACGGAGCCGTCCAGCCAGAGGCGAGGGAGCCAGGCAGGATTTCAACCTGGCCCGCGGCCAGCACTGCCGCAGAGCCGGGAGTTTGATTTAGCTGATTAACTACCTGCTAAGGCAAAATAATTAATATTTTTTGGAGGACT